GTCAGTGGTTCCCGACATTTTCAGTACGGTGGCTCACAGGTCCAAATGACCCATCCAGGAGTTAGAGTGACCTTGGCACCCAAGTACTTTAGCATTCCCTTTTCTATAGTGGCTAATCAGATGTTTTTGAGAAAGGGTACAGCTTCCCCCATTGTGAACCCCAAGCAAGTGAGATTCCAGTGTAGAAGAGGAGACTGGATTTATACTCTGCCCTTCACTACCCCAAAGACTCTCAGAGCAGCTTACAGTCCCCTTCGCCTCCCCACAACAGACACCCTGTGAGGTAGGGGAGGCTGAGAGAGCTCTCCCAAGAACTGCCCTTGGGAGAACAGCTCTGAGAGAACTTGTGACTGACCCAAGGTCACACCAGCAGCCGTAGGAGTGGGGAATCGAACCCGGTTCTCCCAGATTAGAGTCCGTGCTCCTAACCACTGCACCAAACTGGCTCTCCAACACAGCCCTTTGCACATGGAGGTTACATTCCAACCTCTGACCACCCATCCCCTCCTTCATTGCTTCCTCTGATCCACCTGAGAGGCTAAGAAACTCTCACTCAAGTACCCATCGGGACAGGTTTCACTGGATCGACATGTATATGCAGCGAAGAAAAAAATACAAACTAACGTACGACGGTGCCCAGGGTCAGACCTTGGTTTCCAAAATACGAAAGAGAGCAAGGGTAGCCTATGATCTACTTTCAGAGGTTTCGTGACCCAATTTTGGGTCCCAACCAGTCTTCCCTCTAAGCTGAGTTAAGTGTGAGCTAGCTCACAGGTTTTTAGCCTACGGCTCACAGATTGTTGTCTTAGCTCAGGAAGGATGGCTCCGGAGCAAACGCACTTAAACAGTAGCAGAATTGCTTGCTCACAGTTTTAATGCCAGTAGCCCACAACATAGAATTTTTGCTCACAAGACTCCACAGCTTAGAGCGACCATTGGACCGGTGCTCCCTGTAAGCTGCGGAGTCTTGTGAGCAGAAATTCTACTTTGTGAGCTACTGGCATTAGAGTTGTGAGCGAGCGATTTGGCTGCTGCATGAATTAGTTTGCTCCAGAGCCCTCCTTCCTGAGCTAAGACAAAAATCTGTGAGCCGGAGGCTAAAAAACTGAGCTAGCTCACACTAACTCAGCTTAGAGGGAACACTGGTCCCGACCCCCACGCTGGGAAACACTGCTGTAGGTTACATTTCCCTTCCGTGCAACTGGCTTGTACTAAACACTCTAGCAGGAGCCAATGCCAGGTGTGGTTTTTTAAAAAAGACTGGTTGTAGGTTACCATTTTAGACAAGTTACCATCTTACGTGGTTAGTGCTACTGTAAAAAGGTAAAGGTTCCCTTGCTCGAAAGCCAGTCGAATCCGACTCTAGGGTTGCGGTGCTCATCTCCGTTTCAAAGCCGAAGAGCCAGCGCTGTCCGAAGACGTTTCCGTGGTCATGTGGCCGGCATGACTAAACACCAACGCTGTTCCCTTCCAACCAAAGTGGTACCTATTTATCTACTTGCAATTTCTTGCTTTCGAACTGCTAGGGTGGCTCCTGCACTGCTACTGTACTGGTTCCTTAACACAGCACACAGCACCTGGGTACAGAAACAGCAGGGAAACTCTGCTCGTGTGGTTGACTGTCCCCCTTCCAGCAATCTTCCCGTGCGAGGTGAGCCTGGAATCCATTCCCACCCGCCATACCACAGTGCTTTAAAAGATAAAACAGGTGCTAACAGATGCAACAGGTCTTGGGTCTGCCCACGCAGCCAGGTCGGCGTGGAAGTTGAATGGCCGCACACACAGATTGCTTCCGTAGACTTGGTGAGGGTAGAATTCCATGTCACGGAGGTTTCAGGCGGTCCAGTTCAGGTACAAAGCTTTGCTGTCTCTCCCCCCACCCCACCCCCAAGCACGGGTCAGTTTTCTACAGCTTGTCTCCGATGGATGGTTTAGTCTGATCCCCCGCCATGCATTCCCGAACATCCGCAGGCTTAAAATAAAGCAAAAAGGCACAGCCATCCCTTTCCAATTTTTTTATTATTATTATTATTATTATTATGAGTCACAAAAAAGTTGGAACGAAGTCTCCTCCCCGCTGGGGTGGACGAACACCGGTCACTTGATGCTCTGGAGAAAATTTCTGTCGGGGAAGGGGGGGGGAGAAAGAAAGCTGTTTACGCCGTGTCCCATGAAAATGTTTTACTTCCCTTCCGTGAAAGCTACAAGTGCGCCGGCCCCTGGAGCGTCTTCTGCCTTTGGTGGTGAAGAGGCCGAAGGGCAACGCTTGAGTGTCCGGTATGTAGCACTGCCACAGTTCTACGCGACTCTTGAGCCGCACAGCCATGCACACGCCGAAACACACACCTATGCTGATTGGGGTGCCAGTCTCCTCGGGATCCCCCCGAATTACAGCTCAATCAGATATTTTTGGGCAGGAAAGCAGTTCAGCTGGCTTCAGAGCTGGCCACGCCCACGACAGCCAAAACCTCTGCGTGCGTGGCTACAGAGGGAAGGCCTGGAGAGCGACCACCACCACCCTCGTGACTCCAAGATGGGCATGGGGAGGCATTTAAATGCCTTCCCCGGCCTTCCAAGGGCTGGGATGCCCAGGCAAGCCAAAGGCAGGCAGTTTAAACCTATCCAGTGTTCCCTCTAAGCCGAGTTAGTGTGAGCTAGCTCACAGTTTTTTAGCCTGCGGCTCACACATTTCTGTCTTGGCTCAGGAAGGAGGGCTCCAGAGCAAGCTAATTTCTGCAGCAGCCAAATCACTCGCTCACAAGTTTTAATCTCAGCAGCTCACAAAGCAGAATTTCTGCTCACAAGACTCCACAGCTTCGAGGGAACATGAGTCCCCGCAGGGCACCGAGGCAAGCCAAGGGAAGAAGAAGAGATTGGATTTATACCCCGCCCTTTACGACCCAAAGGTGTCTCAGAGCGGCTTACAAACTCCTTTCCCTTCCCCTCCCCACAACAGGCACCCTGTGAGGTAAAAGAAAAAGAAGAGATTGGATTTATCCCCCGCCCTTCACTACCCAAAGGAGTCTCAGAGCGGCTTACAAACTCCTTTTCCCTTCCCCTCCCCACAACAGGCACCCTGTGAGGTCGGTGGGGCTGAGAGCGCTCTGGCAGAAACAGCTCTTTTTCAAGGACAGCTCTGACGGAACTGTGGCTTGCCCAAGGTCATCCAGCCAGGTGCAAGTGGAGGAGTGGGGAATCAAACTCGGTTCTCCCAGATTAGAGTCTGTGCACTTAACCACGACACCAGACTGGCTCAGAGGGAATCCTTGCCCTGGGCCCAAGAGGTGTGTGTGGAAAAGGGCAGGGAGGAACTGTGACCTCTGAAGCCGCCCTTAAGATCCAGCGCTGCCTTCTCCCTTCCACTAGAGAAATTCTATCCCTGTTTGAAAGGGTCATGTACTCAGGTCCTCAATTTGGTGCCCCCTGGGAACCATGACACCCACCGACAGTTAGGTGGGAACCAATGTTCCCTCTAAGCTGTGGAATTGTGTGAGCAAAAAAATCTTTGTGAGCTACTGGCATTAAAGTTGTGAGCGAGCGATTTGGCTACTGCATGAATTCCGTTTGCTCTGGAGCCCTCCTTCCTGAGCTAAGACAAAACTGTGTGAGCTGGAGGCTAAAGAACTGTGAGCTAGCTCACACTAACTCGGCTTAGAGGGAACACTGGTGGGAACGAGGCGGGGCTTTTGCCCAGCGAGTCTTCTGACTGGCCACTGAAGATCCAATCGGCTGTACAAAATGTTGCTTGGGCTGCCCCCATGGCGCAAACACTCTGTGTGACTGAAGGTAAGCTGTTGGCAGCCGTTTTGTGGCTGGCTCCACCATCTGGGGCAGCCATTTTGTGCCCGCGGCTACCACATGGTGTCAGAATTCCAAAGGTGCCTGCCGGCTCAAAAAGGTGGGGGACCCTCTGCACGAAAGGAACACCTGCCCTTCCCGAACAGGTAGTGACATTCCGAGCCGCACCAGAATCTCACGTGTGGGAGAAGGAGCAACTTTCGACAAAATGATGTCGTCCACCAAAGAGGACTGTAAACGGGGGTAAAGCACTCCAACCCCCCCCCCCCACACTTCCCTCATGGAAAGGGGCTGCGGGTATGGTATGGTTCTTGAGCATGGGTTGCCAACCTCCCGGTGGTGTGTATATCAAACAAACATTGTGATAAAAATGACAATGACATTTAATAAATTTTATGAACGTCAAATTATATTATAAACGAAACCTTTACAATATTACTAAGAAAATTCTTACATTCTCAAGGAAGAGAAGAGATTGGATTTATACCCTGCCCTTCACTACCCAAAGGAGTCTCAGAGCAGCTTACAAACTCCTCCCCCTCCCCACAACAGACACCCTGTGAGGTAGGTGGGGCTGAGAGAGCACTGACAGAAACGGCTCTTTTTCAAGAACAACTCTGACAGAACTATGGCTTGCCCAGGACCTTTCCCTTGAGAACGTTAGAATTGTCTTAGTAAGACTGTAAAAGTTTCGTTTGTAATACAACGTTCATCAGATTTATTAAATGTCATTGTCCCTTTTTACCGCAGTGTGTGTGTGTGTTTGATATATTTCCTTGTAAATGTGATCCCTTTTTCGATTTACTCAGCCTCCGGGTGTTGGCCGGAGAGCCCCTGGGATTACACCTGAACTCCAGGTGGCCGGGATCAGTTCCCCTGGAGAAAATGGCCAGTTTGAAAGACGGACTCCGTAGCGTGACACCCTACTGCGGTCCCTCCCCAAACCCCGCCCTTCCGCAGGCTCCACCTCCAAAACCTCCAGGAGTTTCCCAACCAACCCGGCATGGAGGAGCGTACAAGGGACCGAAGTCGACGGAGACTTATCCGTGTTTGTGGAGAGGCCAGGAATAAAGCACAAGATTTATTCTAGCGCCGGAGTGTGGTCCTGGGGGAGGGGGGCTGTTCCTGCCAGATTCCAAGACCCAGATCAGTTAAAACCTTTTTACACACACGCGCGAGAACTCTGCTTGGGGTGGAAACTTGCCTCTACGCAGGACAGCATCTCCTTTACCCATACACCCATCTGACTCTCCCCGTGTGCAGGGGAGATCGGAAACTCAGGAACTGTAAGTCCCAAGGGGGTGAGCGATCGTCCTCTGTTTCATGTCTGTTCTTGGTCCGTGCCCTAGGGGAGGGACTGTACTTCAGTGGAAGAGCCTCTGCTTCACGAGCAGAAGGTCCCAGGTTCAATCCCCGGTATCTGGTTAAACGATTCAGGTAAACACATGATGGGAAGGACCTCTGCCTGAGACCCTGGAGCACATGGAATTCACCTCACAGGGTGTCTGTTGTGGGGAGGGGAAGGGAAAGGAGTTTGTAAGCCACTCTGAGACTCCTTTGGGTACTAAAGGGTGGGGTATAAATCCAATCGCCTCTTCTTCACTGCCACAGGAGGTGGTGGCAGCTACAAGCATGGACGGCTTCAAGAGGGAATTGGATAAACCTATGGAGCAGAGGTCCATCGGTGGCTATGAGCCACAAGATATAGATAGGAACTCTCAGTCTGGGGCAAGGGATGCTCTGTCTTCTTGGTGCTTGGGGGGGGGGGGCTTCTGGTGTCCTGGCCCCACTGCTGGACCTCCTGATGGCACCTGGTATTTTTGGCCACTGTGTGACAGAGTGCTGGACTGGATGGGCCACTGGCCTGATCCAACATGGGCTTCTCTTATGTTCTGAGTAGACAATACAGCCACTGATGGACTACGGACATGAACCAGGAAAAATTAGCTTCATGCATGCTTCAATGTGGGAGGGCTTCTAATGTCCTGGCCCCACTGCTGGACCTCCTGATGGCCCCTGGTATTTCTGGCCACTGTGTGACAAAGAGTGTTGGACTGGATGGGCCACTGGCCTGATCCAACATTGGCTTCTCTTATCTTCTTATGTTGAGAGCAGAGGTCCATCAGTGGCTATGAGCCACAAGGTATAGATAAGAACTCTCGGTCTGGGGCAAGGGAAGGTCTGTATTCTTGGTGCTTGGAGGGGGGGGAGAGTGGGAGGGGGCTTCTAGTGTCCTGGCCTCACTGCTGGACCTCCTGATGGCCCCTGGTATTTTTGGCCACTGTGTGACAGAGTGTTGGACTGGATGGGCCATGGGCATGATCCAGCATTGGTGTCTCTGATGTTCTTAATGTATGAGTGAGCCGTAGAAGACAGGGGGGGTCCTTTAAACTGAAGACCATTTACTGCCTGGACCTTTTTAACCGGAGATGCCGGGGATTGAACCTGGGACCTTCTGTGTGCCAAGCAGGGACTCTACCACGGAGGCATGGCCCCTTCCCAAGGACTGTCTGCTCGAGGCAGGGGAGCAGTTAGCCTGGGGGGGCCCAATGGAGCAGACGCATCGCACCCCCATCCTCTGTTGTGCTTTGAACTTGGTTCAAAAGCACCGGTCCCACCTCATTGCCTCCTTCTGGGGCAGGCTGGGTGAAACCTCGGCTACTGCAGCTGCAGAAGAACAAAGAGTTCTGTGATCTCGTCACACACACCCCCTGGGGCGCCGATCTTCACCTGCTCCCTGGCAGTCTCGCCCAGTCAGCTTCCTGCCATCAAATCCCCTACGGGGTGCCCTTTGACGTGCCGGAGAGAAACCGGGTCCCCCGCGCAGCATGGCTCACTCACTTCACGATGTCTGGGAGCTCGGGGTTGGAGGAAAGATGATCGTGTCCGTAGCCCTCGCTGGCAGGGAAGGAAAGGAAGCGGATGGCATCTTTCTTCTGTGAGGTGTTGCGGGCGATCTCGAAAAGCTGAAGGAAGGCCAGAGTGAGAGACAAGAAGAAGAGAAGGAGAAGAGGAGATTGGATTTATACCCCGCCCTTCACTACCCGAAGGTGTCTCAGAGCGGCCTACAAACTCCTTCCCCTTCCCCTCCCCACAACAGACACCCTGTGAGGTAGGTGGGGCTGAGAGAGCTCTGACAGAAACTGCTCTTTTTCAAGGACAGCTCTTATCAGAACAACGGCTTGCCCAAGGTCATCCAGCAGGTGCAAGTGGAGGAGTGGGGAATCAAACCCTGTTCTCCCAGATTAGAGTCCACACACTTAACCACTACACCAAATTGGCTCTCAGGATTTAAGAAGAAGAGAAGAGATTGGATTTATACCCTGCCCTTCACTACCCAAAGGAGTCTCAGAGCGGCTTACAAACTCCTTTCCCTTCCCCTCCCTGCAACAGACACCCTGTGAGGTAGGTGGGGCTGAGAGAGCTCTTGACAGAAACTGCTCTTTTTCAAGAACAGCTGTGCCAGAACTACAGCTTGCCCAAGGTCATCCAGCAGCTCCACATGGAGGAATGGGGAATGAAACCCGGTTCTCCCAGATTAGGGTCCGCGCACTTAACCAAAGTACACCAAACTGGCTCTCCAAAGGCAGCCATGTTCTTACCTTCATTCATTAAGAGACGGATTCGAGTCCAGGAGTGCCTTCGAGAACAAGAAGATTTATTGGGGGGGGGGGTTATAAGCAATGCTCCCTCTAAGCTGTGGAGTCTTGTGAGCGACTGGCATTAAAGTTGTGAGCGAGCAATTTGGCTGCTGCATCAGTTAGTCTGCTCTGGAGCCCTCCTTCCTTGAGCTGAGACAAAAACGTGTGAGCCGGAGGCTAAAAAACTGTGTGCCGGCCCACACTCACTCAGCTTAGAGGGAACACTGGTTGTGAGCTTTCAAGGGGAGCTTTGACTCTGAACACATACCCCCAAAATCTCATTGGTCTCCAAGGAGCTCCTGGAATCGAATCTTGCTGTCCCAATACAGAGCAACCTGGCTACCCTCTGAAACTGCGCTAAATCTGTCATGAGCTACTTTGACGGTGGTGGCAGCGCTCTACCAGGGCAAGTGTGCCCGCTCTAACTCCCCTCCCTTCCCTGGGAGATGCCAGGGCCTGGTCCTTCTGCTGTTTGGCTGGAGATCCTGGAGGTTTTTTGTCATCCTCTGGGCATGGAGCAGGGGTCACTGCTGGGTGTGTGTGTGGGGGAGGTGTTTGTGAATTCCCTGCATTGTGCGGGGGGGTTGGACTAGATGACCCCGGAGGTCCCTTCCAACTCTACGATTCTCTGATTCATTTTGAGAGCTGCTGCTGGCCTAACCATGCCGAAGACACTCCCCTGCGGCCACCACCGGCAGAGTTCTGCACGGTGAAGATCCGGTGGCACTTCTGCCTTCGCACAGGCGTCATTCCGCAGAGGTGGCCACGTCAATCTATTGTAGCCCAATGAACTGAAACGGAATTAACTCAACCGAAAAGTCACCGCTAGCAGAAGGGAGTCCTTGCCTTCTGCTCCCTTTCACAGAAACTCCCTGCTCACAAGGGGGAAGCCACATTACCTTTCTGCTGTGGGTGATGGGTATGATGCCGTCGTCTTCTGAATGCAACATTAAGATCGGGCTGGACAGCACTTGGACACTGCAGGTGAGAGTGGAGCCGGTCAGAGTTGAACGTAAGAATAGAACTGAAAAAGAGCCCTGCTGGATCAGACCAGTGGTCCGCCTAGTTCAGCCTCCTGCCTCACACAGGGGCCAGCCAGTTCCCCTGGAGGGCCCACAACAGGGCAGAGAGGCCGAGGCCTTCATTAGAACATCAGAAGAGCCCTGCTGGATCAGACCAGAGGCCCATTTGGTTCAGCATTCTGCCTCATAAAGCAGCCAGCCAGTTCCCCTGGAGGGTCAACAAGAGGGCATAGAGGCCGAGGCCTTCCCCTGAGAAGAACATCAGAAGAGCCCTGCTGGATCAGACCAGTGAGGGTCCATCCAGTCCAGCATCCTGCCTCACACAGGGGCCAGCCAGTTCCCCTGGAGGGCCCACAACAGGGCAGAGAGGCCGAGGCCTTCCCCTGATAAGCACATCAGAAGAGCCCTGCTGGATCAGACCAGTGAGGGTCCATCCAGTCCAGCATCCTGCCTCACACAGGGGCCAGCCAGTTCCCCTGGAGGGCCCACAACAGGGCAGAGAGGCCGAGGCCTTCCCCTGATAAGCACATCAGAAGAGCCCTGCTGGATCAGACCAGTGAGGGTCCATCCAGTCCAGCATCCTGCCTCACACAGGGGCCAGCCAGTTCCCCTGGAGGGCCCACAACAGGGCAGAGAGGCCGAGGCCTTCCCCTGATAAGCACATCAGAAGAGCCCTGCTGGATCAGACCAGTGAGGGTCCATCCAGTCCAGCATCCTGCCTCACACAGGGGCCAGCCAGTTCCCCTGGAGGGCCCACAACAGGGCAGAGAGGCCGAGGCCTTCCCCTGATAAGCACATCAGAAGAGCCCTGCTGGATCAGACCAGTGAGGGTCCATCCAGTCCAGCATCCTGCCTCACACAGGGGCCAGCCAGTTCCCCTGGAGGGCCCACAACAGGGCAGAGAGGCCGAGGCCTTCCCCTGATAAGCACATCAGAAGAGCCCTGCTGGATCAGACCAGTGAGGGTCCATCCAGTCCAGCATCCTGCCTCACACAGGGGCCAGCCAGTTCCCCTGGAGGGCCCACAACAGGGCAGAGAGGCCGAGGCCTTCCCCTGATAAGCACATCAGAAGAGCCCTGCTGGATCAGACCAGTGAGGGTCCATCCAGTCCAGCATCCTGCCTCACACAGTGGCCAACCAGTTCCACCACTTCTGAAAGGAGAGAAAACCCCACACAACTCACGTCAGGGGGTCTGATCCAGCACAGGGTAGGGTTATCAGATGACCACTTTGTAGAGGACACGTCCTCTTTTTTTGGTGCCCGTCCTCTTTGGGGCTCTTAAAAAAAAACCCCGATGAAACTGTCCTCTGTTTGGGTTGGAAGGTTAGCAATATTCCTAGATCATAGCAGTTCTCACAGCTTAAATCAGAGAAGAAGAAGAAGAAGAAGAAGAAGAAGAAGAAGAAGAAGAAGAAGAAGAGATTGGATTTATACCCCGCCCTTCACTACTCAAAGGAGTCTCAGAGCGGCTGACAAACTCCTTCCCCTTCCCCTCCCCACCACAGACACCCTGTGAGGTAGGTGGGGCTGAGAGAGCTCTTGAAAGAAACTACTCTTTTTTCAAGGACGGTTTGCCCAAGGTCATCCAGCAGCCTCAAGTGGAGGAGTGGGGAATCAAACCCGGTTCTCCCAGATTAGAGTCCAAGCACTTAACCACCACACCAAACTGGCTCTGTTGAACTCATTTGTTATGAGGGCCGGATCTGACATAATTGTCATTTTGTCAGGCCGGGCCATGTCTGCCCTAAAACATAGTCCCAGGTATGGGAGATATAAACTGTGTAAAGGACAGCAGCTGATGAGCTCTGAGTTGGTGTATCTTCACTGCAAGGCCCTGTGGACTGGGGAGGGGGGTGCAAAGGAAAACCCATATGGGCGGACTGGAGAGCCAGCGGCGCAGCACTGGGCAGACGCCCCCACGCTGCTGCAGATGAGGTTGTTCTGCCATGTCGAAGCCACAATCGGCGTGACCCCCCCCCCCCCCCCCCCCCGAGCAGTCTCCTGTTCCCTCCCTTGCACTAGTTGCTCGCGGGCCACATAACAGCCCTGGACGGGCCAGTTCCGGCCCCCGGGCCTTACGTTTGACACCCCTGGCTTAAAGAGTAGGGGTCTTTAAAGATTTGTCCCAGGGACCACTTGCTTGAAGGAGTCAGTTGGGAAATATGTCCTCTTTTTTTCCCTTTTCAAGATAGGGTAACCCTAGAATGGAGTGAGCGTTCAAGGCGCTAGGGCACGCTTTGGAAGATTCTCCACTCACTTTCTGTCGCTGTAGAAGTACATGTCGGCGCGCGCCATCGTGTCCAAGATTAAATACTCGAAGCCAGGAAACTTGCGGTAGATCTGTTTAAAGAAAGAAAGAGACTTGTGGGGGGGGGGGACTGCAAAACACGCCTGTCTTCTCAGCAGCTAGAGCGGCGGTGGCAACTAGATGGAAATCAGATAAACCTCCTGACTTAAACCTCTGGCATAAAAAAATCTATGGAGTACCTACATAATGGCCAAGCTCTCTGACAATATTAACCAACTCCAACGTCTTCTCTCCTCTTCTACTTTCTTGGCCGTCTGGCTTCCTATTCTAGAATATCTCGTGTCACAAGAAACCACCCCATGGTAAACTTTCTTACTGCTGCTTTTGTCGTTTACTGGCATGGTATATCTTAGTTAATCACTATTCGGTAGCTACAAATGGAGGAGCGGGGAATCAAACCCGGTTCTCCCAGATTAGAGTCCACTCACTTAACCACTAAACTGGCATCTGGCTATAGGTAAATTTCCAGAACTTTCCAGAACTGTCTTTGAGAGAACGGCTCTGACAGAACTATGGCTTGCCCAAGGCCATCCAGCAGCTGCAAGTGGAGGAGCGGGGAATCAAACCCGGTTCTCCCAGATTAGAGTCCACAACCACCAAACTGGCTATAGGTAAATTTCCTTAGGAAGGTTTCAACTTTACAATCACTTATACTAGCTAATATTTTAATTTTGTGCTTTATATTTGAGTTATGATCATATTGAATGGTATATATGTACAATGTATATGGTGGTGAAACTGCAGTAAACTGTATTTTGGAAGAAAGAAAGAAACACAGCTGACTGCAAAACAGATCTCTCCCAGGGCTGGAAATTGCTTCGGGCAATGCAATTGCCAGTAGTAAATGTGGATATACCCCCTCTATGGAAAACCCAAGATCTACTTTGTGTCCTCCAATAAAAGTGGTGGCATTCACAACCTACCATGCTGGCGCTGGTGGGGCGGGCCTTTCTCACCAAGGGGCTGACATTTCCAAGGGGGCGAATGCAAAGTCGAGACCGAACTGGAAGCAATTCAGGATGGGACGGCACTCACTTTGCCCCACTGGTTGCCCTGCAGCAAAGTACCTACAGGTCCCCCACCAACTCGAACAAGTGAGCCAAGCAACCCTGCTAGATTTCCACATTGCTCCACAAGCTATCTGTCAGCTATGCTGCCATGGGGGTTGGGGAGTTTATTCTGTGTCTTGGTAATTGCTATTGCATTCCTATCCCTGCTGTTCTGCCTTTGCTGAAACACTTATCTCGACAGATGTGCAGGAGGATGTTGTGTTGGAAGTTGTATTGTCTGGAAGTCTCCTATGTACCGTGAGAGACTACAGTTTCCCAGCTTTCGCCACCTAACGGATTTGGCCCCGGGTGGGGGAGAGTGCCTAATTGGCCCCTCCCGGGGGGGGGGGGGCGCCCTATATCCTATTATGCTCAATGGGCTGCCGCCATTCTCAACAGTGCCTGTGTTACTGCATCTATAGCTTTGCAATAAACGTTTAACCATTCCTGAATGCGTGTACTTCGTTGTGAGCTGTGGGTTCTGACACTATCGACGGATAAAAGTGGAGGCAGAGACACGGAGAAACTTACTTTTGTCACGGGGATCGTGGCCGCTGCCTCACGGATGTTGGTGAAAGGTGCCTCTAGGATTACTGCATCCACTGTGACCCCTTCTGGGGGGGGAAAGGAGACGGTTCAGAGGGGGGAAATATACACCCTGGAAGAGTTGAAGTGCCCTCCCCCCCTTAAAAAGAACACTAACATAAGAAAAATTAGTTTTTGTAGATTTTCCAGGCTGTCTGGCCGTAGTCTTGGCATGGTAGGACCTGACGTTTCGCCAGCAGCTGTGACTGGCACCCTCAGAGGTATAACACAGAAAGGTGGAGGACTCTCTGTGTCAAGACGAGAAGCAAAATGGTAGGCAGGTTTATGTCTACTCAGGAAGGTGGGGTAGGGCTGAGTCATTATCTTGTAGGAGTTCCCCAGGCTGTGACATGCTCATGGAGGAGCTTTCCTGAGGAGGTTCTTTTGCATATGGATGGGCTGTTGAAATTCTAATCTTATCTGTAGTGCTGTTGTTAGATGTAGCGCCTTTTGTGTTTTTCAGGACAGGAAACCATGCCCTGTTTATTTTTAAATGCTCTTCTTGTCTGTTGAAATTGTGTTTGTGTCTATGAATTTCAATGGCTTCCCTGTGTAATCTGACATGGTAATTGGACGTGTTGTCCAGCCTTTCAGTTCAGCTATTGAACTCCGGACGTGGAAAGCCTTCGACAACATATAAGAAAAACTGTCCGAATATGAATGATTAACCTGTTAAGCCCTGACCTGCAGGGCTATTTTTGGGCAGGAACGGACAAGAACGGAGTTCCGGCTGGCTCCTGAGTTGGCCACGCCCAGCAGGAACTCATTAGAATAATAGGCCACACCCAACAGCAGAAACTCATTAGGATTGGCTACATTAGGGGTGTGTGGCCTAACATGCAAAGGAGTTCCTGCTACAAAAAAGGCCCTGGGTTTTGACAACAAACAAGGTAAACAGAATAAGAAGCAAAAGGTGGGTGTGGCTGGATGGCCACACTTCTGGCAACATGGGGGTGCGGCCTAAGGTGCTAATGAGCTGTGCTGTCAGGGGTGTGGCCTAATATGCTAATGAGTTCCTGGTGTTGGGTGTGGCCTGTTATGCTAATGAGTTCCTGCTGGGCTTTTTCTACAAAAAGAGCCCTGCCAGTGACCTAGGCTAGCCCGATCTCATCAGATCTCAAAAGCTAAGCAGGGACAGGTCCAGGTTAATACTTGGAAGGGAGACCACCAAGGAATGCCAGGGTCATTACACGCAGGCAGGCAATGGCAAGCCACCTCTTAACGCCTCTTGCCTTGAAAACCCCAAGGGGTTGCCGTAAGTCGGCTGTGACTTAACGGCCCAAAAAAAAAAAGTCCTTTAAACTGTAGAGAGAGAATGGTGAAACCATTGCAAGGCGGACTCTGTCATATGGGAAACCGCCAAACAATCATTAATTCCCCCAAATAATTGTAACAGTCGCCTGAAAAGTTATTCCTCTAAAAATGAAACCTTTGTCCGATCACTATAGACAGGATCTTTTACATCACCTAAAACCTGATCCCTTTGACTGGAGGTGACGGAGATTGAACCTGGGACCTTCTGCGTGCCAAGCAGAGGCTCTGCCTCTGAGCCACGGACCCTCCCCAAGCACACATGAAGCTGCCTTCTACTGAATCAGAGCCTTGGTCCATCAAGGTCAGCATTGTCTACTCAGACTGGCAGCTGCTCTCCAGGGTCTCAGGCGGAGGTCTTTCCCCATCACCTACTGCCTGGTCCTTTGAACTGAAGATGCCGGGGATTGAACCTGGGACCTTCTGCATGCCAAGCAGAGGCTCTGCCACTGAGCCACCAAGGCCCTCTTTACAGCTCTCCAGGGTCTCAGGCGGAGGTCTTTCCCCATCACTTACTGCCTGGTCCTTTCATCTGGAGATGCTGGGGATTGAACCTGGGACCTTCCGCATGCCAAGCAGAGGCTCTGCCACTGAGCCACGGCCCCTCTTTACAGCTCTCCAGGGTCTCAGGTGGAGGTCTTTTGCATCACCTACTGCCTGGTCCCTTTAACTGGAGAGGCCGGGGATCGAACCTGGGACCTTCTGCAGGCCAAGCACCGGATCTCCCGCTGAGCCACAGTCCTCCCCCTCATTACAAATCCCCTGGCCCACGGAAAAGCAGCACGCCCGTAAAAGCATTCTTGAAGACGACTTTATTGTATGTAGGGAATTTTGAGGAGCCCTCTACAGGTCCCCCACACCACACCACACCCCAGAAGAACAGAGGATCTGTGTGGAAGGACCAAAATCGCCTGGGGAGAAACCACTCAAATGGTAGAGGCAGGCCCAGGTTGAGGGTTCCTCCCACATACTCCCGACCAATGCTCCCTCTAAGCTGCGGAGTCTTGTGAGCAAAAATGCTACTTTGTGAGACACTGGCATTAAAGTTGTGAGCGAGCCATTTGCCTGCTGCATAAATTAGTTCCTCTGAAGAAGAGAAGAAGAGATTGGATTTATACCCCGCCCTTCACTCAGAGTCTCAGAGTGGCTTACAAACTCCTTTCCCTTCCCCTCCCCACAACAGACCCCCTGTGAGAGAGGCGGGGCTGAGAGAGCTCTTTCCAGAACTGTCCTTGAGAGAACAGCTCTGACAGAACTATGGCTTGCCCGAGGTCATCCAGCAGCTGCAAGTGGAGGAGTGGGGAATCAAACCGGGTTCTCCCAGATTAGAGTCCGCACACTTAACCGCTATACCAAAATGGCTCTCTGTGGAGCCATCCTTCCTGCGCCAGTGAGGTAGGGATGAGAGAGCTCTCTCGAGAACTGCTCCTGAGAGAACTTGTGACTGACCCAAGGTCACACCAACAGCTGCATATGGAGGAGGGGGGGGAATCAAACCCGGTTCTCCCAGATTAGAGTCCGCACACTTAACCACTACACCAAAATGGCTCTCTGTGGAGCCATCCTTCTTGCACCAGTGAGGTGGGCTGAGAGAGCTCTCTCGAGAACTGCTCCTGAGAGAACTTGTGACTGACCCAAGGTTACTCCAGCAGCTGCATGTGGAGGAGGGGGGGAATCAAACCCGGTTCTCCCAGATGAGAGTCCGCAATCCTAACCACTACACCAAGCTGGCTCTCTGCATAGGCTCAGAAGCACTTTTTATTACAACCTGAAAATGTGCAAGAGCCAATCCCCGGGTTGGAAAGAGATTTGGCAGTCAACTTCTGGCTCAGGTTCCAACGTTGCACTTTTGAGGAAAAACAGGGATGCAGATTTCCAAGAGAAATTAGCCCTATCGAATAGCTGCCCCTCCCATCCACATCGCACCCAGAGAGCCAGTGTGGTGTAGTTGAGAGCGGTGGACTCTAATCTGGGAGAACCGGGTTTGATTCCCCCACTCCTCCACATGAAGCCAGCTGGGTGACCTTGGGCCAGTCCCAGTTCTCTCAGAGTTCTCTCAGCCCCACCCACCTCACAGGGTGTCTTGTTGTGGGGAAGGGAAGGAAAGTTGACTGTAAGCCTCTCTGAGATTCCTTCAGGTAGTGAAGGGTGGGGTATTAAAAACCCCAACTCTTCTCTCCACCTGAAGTTCCCAACCCCCAGGTAGGGCCTGGAGACTCCAGACTACCGATATCGCTGCCCCTGGAAAAAACGGCTGCTTTGGACGGTGGACTCTGTGGCATTATAACCCCGCTGAAGTTTCTCCCCTCCCTAATTCCCTGTCCACCCCTAAACAGCCAGGAATTTCCCGGCTTGGATCCCCCCCACACACACACCCTCACTTCTCAAGCTTATAAATAGTTACCTTTCTCTTTCAGCGCCCTGGCAACGTTTGTAGCAATTCTAGGAGGAGACAGAAGACAAGGAAGTAAGAATGTCAGGCAAAAAGGGACTTTGTGAAGATTGATTGATTGATTGATTTTCTCCAGGACAGTTTGGCTGGAGATCCTGGAGGTGTTGTCATTTTCTGGGCGTGGAAAGTGGTCACTGCGTGTGTGTGTGAGGTCTTTGTGAATTTCCTGCAGTGTGCAGGGGGTTGGACTAGATGACCCTGGAGGTCCCTTCCAACTCTTATGATTCTATGATTGATTGAGGTTGTCATGATCTGGGCTGTGCAAGCACGGCCTACTAGGCCCAGGGAGCCTGGCTAGCAGTAGGTTAGGCTGGGCCCACAACTCCCAGAAGCCCGGCGCCTGCAGGATGTCTGGCGCCTGCAGAAGTGAGCCGTGAGTCACGAAAGCTCCTCCCCTTCCACAAATGTTGTTAATCTTTAAGGTGCTCCCGGACTCTTGGCCATTTTCTGCTCTTTCACCTTGTCAGAGATCAGGAAATGGCTAGTCTGCCACTGGGGACAAACATCGAGACGTACCCAGTGAGAGAAGAAATTTTAAGTAAAATTTTGGAAACGGGGGAGATGGACAAACTAACTTTAGCTTTGAAAGGACAACCAGAATCAACATTTGGTAATACATGGCCAAGGTTTTAGAAGAAGAGGAGGAGGAGGAGGAGGAGGAGATTGGCTTTATACCCCGCCCTTCACTACCCAAAGGAGTCTCAGAGCGGCTTACAGACTCCTTTTCCCTTCCCCTCCCCACAACAGACACCCTGTGAGGCAAGCGGGGCTGAGAGAGGTCTGACAGAAACTGCTCTTTTTCAAGAACAGCTCTTGTCAGAACCACAGCTTGCCCAAGGTCATCCAGCCAGCTGCAAGAGGAGGAGTGGGGAATCAAACCCGGTTCTCCCAGATTAGAGTCTGCACACTTAACCACGACACCAAACTGGCTCTCTTTTATAAGTGGTTTGAAGACTATAATAAATAAATAAACCATGCAGACAATTAAAACTTTCTGAGGACATGCAAAGTACAATTTTGATATCTTTGCAAGAGATAGACATGAGGATACAAGGTGAAATCTAGAAACGTCCGATAAATTAGGCGTGAGTTTGTCAGACAAGGAATTGTAAGAAGAATCTCCCCTCTTTTGTGTTAGTTGTGTCTTTATGTGTGTTTTGTCATGTTGTCCATGGGGTCGCGAAGAGTCGGACTCGACTGTGCGACTGAACAACAAAATGTTTTGTCTTTAAAAATAAAAAAGTTAACGATGAGAGAGAGAGAGAGAGACGTACCCGGTGCCGAGGGAGTGCCCCCAGACGATGACCGTGCTGTTTCCGCTCCGGGCCTTCACCCAGTGATAGAGGAACAGGACGTCTGTCGTGAAGCCCGTCTCACTAGGGTCCCCGGTGGAGTCTCCATAGCCTGGGAAGCATCAGATTGAGGGTCACGGGGGGGGGGGGGGACCCTTTCTGGGGGGGGGGGGGGGAACCCTCAACAGTCTCTTGGTTGAAAATGCAGACATTCAGAGTGGTTTTTCAACAGAATTATTTTTTTATCGAAGATAGTTCCAGAAAATTGTAAAAAGCAGGATTCCTATCTGATTATACATGTTGTTACAACTGCTAGAATATTATATGCTAAATACTGGAGGAGGAAAGAGACACCATCAGAAGAAGAAATAACAAATAAACTATTGGAAACGGGTGAGATGGACAGAATTGACTTTACTTCTGAAAGGACAAAAAGAGGAACACTTTGAAAGTATGTGGTCAGGATTTTACAGGTGGATTGAAGACTATATTAAATGAATTGTGTATACAACCAGAGCAGAAAGTATAAAGAACATAATAAGAACGCTGATAGCAGGGCTATTTTTGGGCAGGAACGCACAGGAACGGAGTTCCGGCTGGCTCCTGAGTTGGCCACGCCCAGCAGGAACTCATTATCATAATAGGCCACACCTAACAGCAGACACTCATCAGGATAGGCTACATTAGGGGTGTGCGGCCTAACATGCAAAGAAGTTCCTGCTACAAAAAAAGCCCAGGGTTTTGACAACAAAGTAAACAGAATAAGGAGCAAAAGGTGGGTGTGGTTGGATGACCACACGTCTGGTAACATGTGGGGTGTGGCCTAATATGCTAATGGATCTCTGCTGTTGGGTGTGGCCTATTATGCTAATGAGTTCCTGCTGGGCTTGTTCTACAAAAAAAGCCCTGGCTGATAGTGATACATGCAAAACTTTAAATCAACAGTTTAAGGTGGAGAAACCTATTTGTGATTAGAGAGAAAAATGTAAGAGATCCTTAATGGATAGATTCCCCTATTTTATGTCTGTGTTGTAGATTTGTTTTGTTTGTTGTCATGATAAAATAAAAGTAAATTGTTAAAAAAATAAAGGAATTTACCTCTGTAGTCGATGGCCAGCACATGAAAGTCGGCATCACTCATCACCTGTTCAAAAAGTCAAGGTTTCAGTCTCTGGAATTTAGTGCAGCCTAGGCTATTTAATTACATACATCAAAAGGAGGGGCTATGGCTCAGTGGTAGAGCATCAGCTTGGCATGCAGAAGGTCCCAGGTTCAATCCCTGCAACCTCCAGTTAAAAGGGCCCGGCAGTAGGTGATGGGAAAAACCTCGGCCTGAGACCCGGGAGAGATGCTGCCAGTCTGAGTAGACAATACAGACCTTAATGGGCCAAGGGAGAGTGATTAAAATGTGGAATTTGCTGCCAGAGGATGTTGCGATGGCCACAGAAGTAAACAAAGAGGATTGGATAGCTTCAAGTAGGACAGGTCACTGGTTACTAGGGGTGTGTATTTGGATCTACCCAAGCCAAAAATCTACCTGAAAAATATAGGGCGTTTCTGATGTTCTAATGAAGGCCTCGGCTTCTATGCCCTCCTGTTGGCCCTCCACTGTGTGAGACAGGATGCTGGACTAGATGGACCCTCTTCTGATGTTCTTATGAAGGCCTAATCGGCCACTGTGTGAGACAGGATGCTGGACTAGATGGACCCTCTTCTGATGTTCTTATGAAGGCCTAATCGGCCACTGTGTGAGACAGGATGCTGGACTAGATGGACCCTCTTCTGATGTTCTTATGAAGGCCTAATCGGCCACTGTGTGAGACAGGATGCTGGACTAGATGGACCTGTTGTTGGTCCTCCACTGTGTGAGACAGGATGCTGGACTAGATGGACCCTCTTCTAATGTGGCCAGCCAGTTCCTCTGGAAGATCAATAACAGGGCATAGAGGCCAAGGCCTTCATTAGAACATAAGAAGAACCCTGATGGGTCAGACCCACTGATGGATCAGACCAGGGGACAGGAACATGCAACAAGTCTTGCCCCCTGCTCCCAACAGCCCTCAGTCAGGCCATGAGGACCTTCTAGTCCAGCATCCTCTTTCACACAGTGGTCCAACCAGCTGGCCTGGAGGGCCAATAACAGGGCAGAGTCCAAGAAGAGCCCTGCTGGATCAGACCAGGGGTCCATCCCGTCCAGCATCCTGTTTTACACAGAAGTCCAACTAGCTGCCCTGAAGGGCCAAGAACAGGGCAGAGAGGCCGAGGTCTTCATTAGAACATCAGAAGAGCCCTGCTGGATCAGACCAGGGGTCCATCCAGTCCAGCAACCTCACTGCCTCTCAGTTGTGGAGGTTTCTTTTACTCACCATGGCCAGTGGACCCATCCTCAATGAATCTGCTTGTCCCCTTTGGAGGTCATCTATGCTTGTGGCCATCACGCCACGCATGGGCCTTAACTCTTAGAGGAGGCACCTGGTCAAGGCCTTCCCCCCTGAGCCAATATCAGGTGACACAACGCGAGAAGCCATGACGCAGCTTTCAGAAAGGGCTCAGCTCTGTAATAATCCATCTTGAGTGGAACCAAAGAATCTCTCGGGGACCCCTGGACATCACCTACCTTTGCCATACGCACTCTGTGGCTCATCGCCCTGGAAGAGAGTCCCAGAAAGTCCAGATGAGCATCTCATCCCATGAATTATTACATCAGTAAACAAAACATCCCTCTTTAAGCGAGCAGCTCGTGCAAAATGAGGTTAAAGGGGGAGGGGGAGGCGGAAAAATACAGCTCTCTGCAACGAAGATATTTAAAGAAGAAGAAGAAGAGATTGGATTCATACCCCGCCCTTCGCCCTTCACTATCCAAAGGAGTCTCAGAGTGGCTTACAAACTCTTTTCCCTTCCCCTCCCCACCACAGACACCCTGTGAGGTAAAAGAAGAAGAAGAGGAGATTGGATTTATCCCCCGCCCTTCACTACCCAAGGGAGTCTCAGAGCGGCTTACAGACTCCTTTCCCTTCCCCTCCCCACCACAGACACCCTGTGAGGTAAAAGAAGAAGAAGAGGAGATTGGATTTATCCCCCGCCCTTCACTACCCAAGGGAGTCTCAGAGCGGCTTACAGACTCCTTTCCCTTCCCCTCCCCACCACAGACACCCTGTGAGGTAAAAGAAGAAGAAGAGGAGATTGGATTTATCCCCCGCCCTTCACTACCCAAGGGAGTCTCAGAGCGGCTTACAGACTCCTTTCCCTTCCCCTCCCCACCACAGACACCCTGTGAGGTAGGTGGGGCTGAGAGAGCTCTGACAGAAACTGCTCTTGTTCAAGGACAGCTCTTGTCAGAACTACGGCTTGCCCAAGGTCATCCAACCAGGTGCAAGTGGAGGCGTGGGGAATCGAACCCGGTTCTCCCAGATTAGAGTCCGCGCACTTAACCACGACACCAAACTGGTTCAAAGGAAAAAGGAACAGAGCCGTCTTGACTCAAGCCAGATGCTCGTGGAGTTTTGTACCTTGGAAACACCTTAAAAGGTACAATCATCATAGAGCTGGAAGGGGCCACACAGGCCACCTAGTCCCACCCCCTGCTCAATGCAGGATCAGCCTAGAGCATCCCTGAGAAGGCTTTGTCCAGCCACTGCTTGAAGACTGCCAGGGAGGGGGAGCTCACCTGTTCCGAAGGCAGCCCATTCCACTGCTTCCTAATATCCAGCCGGAACCTTCCCACCCTTAATTTAAACCTATTCCTGCAAGTCCTCTGCTGCCCACAGGAACAGCTCCCTGCCTTCCTCCTCTAAGGGACAGCCCTTCAGATAATCAGGGGTCATTTCCTGCAGGAGCGCACAGGAGCGGAGTTCCGACAGTAAGGAGCCCAGGGGGCGGGCACATGCAACAAGCCTCACCCCCTGCTCCCAGCAGCCCTCAGTCGGGCCACGAGGAGCAAGAAGCAGCCAGGTAAATTGCAAAGCCCCCCCCCGCCTGCCTTCGGGTACAAGCTCTCCCTCCTCTGTGAGGGCAAATCTGTGGGAGGGCTTCTAATGTCCTGGCCCCACTGGTGGACCTCCTGATGGCACCTGGTATTTCTGGCTACTGTGTGACCCAGAGTGTTGGACGATGGGCCTTTGGCCTGATCCAACATTGGCATCTCTTATGTTCCTATGTTCTTATGTGCATTCCCCCCCATAACTAACAATCCAAAACAGCCCAGTGGCACCTTTAAGACCAAGTTTTATTCAGCTACAAGCTCTCCCTCCTCTGCGAGGACAGATCTGCATGTCCTCCTCCCCCAATAGCTAGCAATCCAAAACAGTCCAGTGGCACCTTTAAGACCAAGTTTTATTCAGGTCCAAGCTCTCCCTCCTCTGTGAGGACAGATCTGCATGTCCTCCCCCCCCCACTAGCTAGCAATCCAAAACAGTCCAGTGGAGCCTGAGCGGTGGGTGTTGCCTTCTGACACACTTCCGGTGATGTCAGGGGGTGTGGCATATGCAAACGAGTTATGCTAATGAGTTATGCTAATGAGCTCCTGCACCTCTTTTTCTACGCAATGACCCCTGCTGATACTTAAAGAGAGCTATCCTGTCCCCCTTCCACCTCCTCTTCTTCAGACTGAACATTCCCAAGTCATTAGAAGAGCCCTGCTGGATCAGACCAGGGGTCCATCGAGTCCAGCATCCTGTCTCTCACACCAGCCAACCCCCTAATCATCTTGGGCACCCTCCTCTGTACTCCGCTCCTCAGCCGTTCCTCGCAGGGCTCGGTCTCCAGGCCCCCGATCATCCTCGTTGCTCTCCTCCGCACCCACTCCATTCTGTCCCCATCTTTCTTGACGTGAGGCCTCTGTAACTGCACACAGGGCTCCGGAGGTGGCCAGATAAGTCAGAAATGGTGCAGTGCCCAAGTCTTCAAGCCCAGGGGCATCAAGACTATGTACAAAAGGCCCCGAAGCAAGGCACTGGTGTGTATGTATGAGTGCAGTCTGATTTAGTATAAGGCATGCTCATGTATAATACACCACACAAGGATTATTACTGTGATAAGTACATTTTCATGCTTGAAAGATTTTCAACTTACAATACAGTACATCAAAATGAGTGAATTTTATAATCCATTAAGCATTTGGTACTCCATTCTAGAAAACATAGAGCTAAATAAATTTGAATGGGAAAACATAACGGAAGCTAAATATAAACTGATGCTCTATTGTGAATAACATAAATTTTCACGCTCTCATGTTTATGACCTCACTATAAGACTTTTAATGACATAACACTACATTATGCTTAGTTCTAAAGCTATTCCGAAACCTTAATAGACATATAGAAATTCTGCCTGTAATGTTTTGTTTAGCAGGTTTTTCTTCAACCCTATTGCTCTGTTAAATTGTTTGTATTGTTATTTTATTACTATTATTAAAATCAATAAACTTTTATTTTTAAAAAATTACTGTGATAAGTGTGCTAAACTAAATAATACAGTCCTGCAAAAATCAGAAAATATCGGCTGTTTAAATAAGTTATAGTGATACGCTTTTTTTACAGGGCTGGAATACAGAAATACAAATCCATCATCCATTTGACTGTAACTCGCCCAAAATGAATTTTCTACTAGCCACTGTGCTTTGTTATTGACCTATGAAGAAAAAAAATACGTGAGCATCAGACTTCATTTCTACTCTTCTAGAGGAGACAAAAAACTGGAAATTATCTATAGAATCTTGTTCGGAAGAAGGAACATCGAAATGACACAGGACATTCCGGAGCACGTCATTAACAATATTTGCTTCGTTAAAAACCACTTCTGCTTATTTGAAACTGACTGTATTGTTTGTATTCCAACCCTGTAAAAAAAGCATATCACTCTAACTTATTTAAACAGCCTATACTTTCTGATTTTTGCAGTACTGTATTATTTAGTTTAGCGCACTTATCACAGTAATAATCCTTGCGTGGTGTAATATCCATACACTGTGTACCATACTCTGCTTATGCTCATGTATAAGGCATGCTCACATGTTTCTCAGCAAGAAAAGCACCCTTTTGGTGTAGAGAGCCAGTTTGGTGTAGTGGTTAAGAGCGCGGTTTGATCCCCCACTCCTCCACATGCAGCTGCTGGAGTGACTTTGGGTCAGTCACAAGCTCTCTCAGAGCTGTTCTCTCAAGAGCAGTTTCTGTCAGAGCTCTCTCAGCCCCGCCTACCTCACAGGGTGTCTGTTGTGGGGAGGGGAAGGGAAAGGAGATTGTAAGCCGCTCTGAGACTCCTTCGGGTAGTGACGGGCGGGGTACAAATCCAATCTCCTCTTCTTCTGAAAAACTAGGCCTCCCTTCGCCCTTGCTTACCAAATCATTCCTTGGATACACGCTGCAAGGTTTTTTTGTTGGACTCACAATTCCATGCAGATCCATGACAAACGGCCCCCTCCCTTTGCCCCTAGAGCCAAGCCCTTCCCACCCCCAACTAAAGCAACACAGTCTGGAAAAAGGGCCGGGGCGGCTTTTGTGCCGGTGCAACCTGAAAACCACCTGTTCCCCCCGTTGCCGTGGAGATAGAGGATGACGGGATTATCGTCGGCCAGGGCTTCTTCGTGCCAGCTGGGGTCCTTGCCTTCCGCCTCCTTCCGCCTGCTGTCGGGCAGGGAATGCCTAAGAGAAGCGGAACAGGCCGTCACGGGGCTTCCCTTGCGGAACAAAAGGAGGCCGGCTGCTTCGGCCCGGCTCTTGGAAGCCACAAACAAGCTGGTGCCGGACATCTGCCTCTTTGAAAGACAGACTCAAACACGGGTGGGGGGGTACGCTCTGGAGGGGACTGGAGCAAAACCGCCCCATCTGTCCCATTTGTTTGAGATATACCCCCCTCCACCTCCCCCCTCTGGATTAGAGCTGTGCTCCCACAAAACAGGACAAATGTGGACAAACACGACCCAATCAGAGAACAAGTATGAAGAAAACCGTCGCGAGTCTCTGACCCACACATCTGACCTACTATACTTGAGTTTATTTTCAAAATGCTCTGCATTTTCTCATAACAAGAGGAACAATATTACATTGCAGATCTTTCATGACTTACTGTAAAGCACTTTATGAACAAGGGAACTTTTGCGCTACTCTGTGAGTGAGATTGCATTTGGATTTTACACTGTTTTGCATTGTTTGTATATGAGTGAAAGAATCGTATTTTTGTACACTACAGGACATTTCCTGAGGAAGATCCAATTTTGAAACGTTGTTATATAATCCGGAGACGACGACGATGTACCTTTGCCCTAGGATTTTCTTATGATTTGTAGGAATTGATTTATTGTGTTGTAGTGCTTCAGGCTGTAATACATAGTGAGCATTTTCTTTGCAAGTCTTGTCGACTGCTTGATTTGTGGGTCAGACACTCACAACTGTTTTCTTTATACTCGTTCCCACAAAACAGGAGACAAGTTCACTAGCACAGTGCCAGTGCAGGGGGGGGGGAGGAGAGAAAACGTCACAACCACCAGATCACTCACCAAACGCCATAGGTGACCCCTGGCTCGGGAGTAAGATAGAAGTTGACTGTGTGATTGAGGTACACTTCGGGCTTCTGGAAGTCCACTCCAAAGGGGTAAGACACTGGAAGAGAATTTCACTTTGAGGCTCACCTTTGGGTTAAGACCACTGGGGCTCCGCAGTAGAGCCTCTGCTTGGCACGCGGAAGGTCCCAGGTTCCATCCCCGGCATCTCCATTAAAAAGGACCAGTCAGTAGGTGATGTGGAAGACCTCCGCCTGAGTCCCTGCAGAGCCATGGAGAGGGGGCTGTGGCTCAGTGGAAGAGCCTCTGCCTGGCATGCAGAAGGTCCCAGGTTCCATCCCCACCATCTCCAGTTTATAGAAGGACCAGGCAGTCGTTGATGGGAAAGACCTTTCACTGCCTGAGAGCCTAGAGTGCAGCTGTCAGTCTAAGTAGACAATACTGACTGATGGACCAAGGGTCGAATTCCGTATAAGGCAGAGTCATGGGTGATTTATGGATTTGTCTGGGAGGGGCTGTGGCTCGGTGGCAGAGCCTCTGCTTGGCATGCAGAAGGTCCCAGGTTCAACACCCCGGCATCTCCAGTTAAAAGGACCAGGTGTTCCCTCTAAGCTGAGTGAGTGTGAGCTAGCTCACAGTTTTTTAGCCTCCAGCTCACAGAGTTTTGTCTTTGCTCAGGAAGGATTGCTCCAGAGCAAACTAATGTATGCAGTCGCCAAATCGCCCGCTCACAACTTTAATGCCAATAGCTCACAAAGTAGAACCTTTGCTCACAAGACTCCACAGCTTAGAGGGAGCATTGCCCAAGACTCCACGGCTTAGAGGGAACACTGGGCAGGAGATGATGTGAAAGACCTCAGCCTGAGACCTTGGAGAGCAGCTGCCAGTCTGAGTAGGCAATACTGACTGACAGGGTCTGATTCGGTATACGGCCACTTCATCTCTGTTCACCGTCTCTTCGCCAGGTATCAATGGCACGACAAGGTGGCTCTGGGCATGGCTACCCTTGATTGACCCTGGCTTAAGAGTTCACAACACTGAAGTTCCCAGGTCTTCTTAGAACGGGGGGCTCAGAATATCGTAGAATTCTCAATACCCTCGACACTGTAATCCCCCAGGATTCTAAGAGGGAAGCCGCAAAAGTCAAAAGGACATTAAACGGATGCAAGTTTGCAGTGCGGATCAGCCTCACTTCTTTTTTAAATATAAGGCACCAGATATAATGAGACAAGAGAATATCTTGCAGCTATTCCAGTGTTCCCTCTAAGTTGAGTTAGTGTGAGCCAGCTCACAGTTTTTTAGCCTCCGGCTCACACGTTTTTGTCTTAACTCAGGAAGGATGGCTCCAGAGTGAACTAATTTATGCAGTAGCCGAATCGCTCGCTCACAGCTTTAGTGCCAGGAGCTCACAAAGTAGAATTTTTGCTCACAGGACTCCACAGCTTAGAGGGAGCATTCGTCGGGGGCAGTGTTCCCTCTAAGATGAGTGAGTGTGAGTTAGCTCACAGTTTTTTAGTCTCCGGCTCACGCATTTTTGTCTTTGCTCAGGAAGGAGGGCTCCAGAGCAAACTGATTTATGCAGCAGCCGAATCGCTCGCTCGCAACTTTAATGCCGGTAGCTCCCAAAGTAGACGTTTTGCTCACAGGACTCCACAGCTTAGAGGGAGCATTGCTTGATTCAATCAGGAGGAATCTGGTTTTTTACGGGATTTCCTGGAGAGGGGAGACTCTTGGAGACCAGCAGTTCCCTTTGGGTATATTTGCTCGGTTCCAAATGTACAAATTGAGTGGGGGAGGGGGTACGTAGGCACCCAGACAAACGAGGGAGTTTGAAAAGCCACATCACTCTGATGGCCTTGGAACTGACCCTTTTACAGTCCTTTTTGCACAGAAGTTACTAACCACTCCCTCTTTGTCTCTAAACACAGCCACAAATGAAGCAGCCTACGGAGCACCGAGGCTGCCGTCCGTTTCCTCTGACTTCTTCAGGCCGCTGTCTCAATGGTGGAGCCCCAAAAGCTCTGACTTTGCAGTCTATCTTGCTTCAATTCGGCTCTCTGCTGTGACCTCTACAGCCCAGGCTAGCCTGATCTCATCAGATCTTGGAAGCTCAAGCATGGTCAGCCCCAGTGTTCCCTCTAAGCTGAGTTAGTGTGAGCCAGCTAACACATTTTTTCTTCGCTCAGGAAGGACAGCTCCAGAGCAGACTGTCATGGGCGTGGATGAGGGATTGCTGACAGAGCTGCAAAAAGGAACCGCAGCTGGCCCCTCTGAAACAGCAGAGGAGGGTAGATGGCAGTTGCCTGTCATAGCCAGATAAGGGGGAAGAATTGCAAGCTGAAAGCCCTCCTGACTCACCCCCACGTGTGACTGGTTTAAGGGAGCGACTGCGGCAAAACTTAGCAACCAGGCAAAGAGAGGCCAGGCTACAGGGGAGACGCTCGGCCAGCCCAGAGTTCTAACAGGAGCCTGGCCGATCGTGCAGCTGGCTAATTGGTAGCAGCATTTAACTCCACACTCTGGGCAGTACAGTTCGTGGAAGCAACGAGTCAGCTTCGCACTGCTTGCGTCCACTCTGGCTCGGCTCTTGCACCTAGACCTTCGGACCCCCTGGCTTTGGACTTGGCTCTGTGTTCCTGGCTCCTGACCCCGGCTTGGCTTTTGGAACTACACTTCTGGTGATTTTGGATTTGGCTCTGTGTTTCTGGCTCCTGACCACAGCTTGGCTTTTTGGACTGTCTTCTTGGCTCCTGACCTTGGTCTGTTCTGGACTCCCTTTGACTGGCACCCCAGCCCGTGACACAAACTAATTTATGCAGGAACCAAATTGCTCGCTCACAACTTTAATGCCAGGAGCTCACAAAGGGGAATTTTTGCTCACAGGACTCCACAGCTTAGAGGGAACATTGGTATTTGGATGGCAGACCGCCCAGGAAGTCCAGGGTCCCCACACAGAGGCAGGCAATAGCAAACCACCTCTACTCCTCCCTTGCCTTGAATGCCCCATGCGGGGTCACCGTAAGTCGGACGTCAAAGAGACAAAAAAGGATTCAAACCATTTCCTGGCTCAGCAGGCAGCTTCAAAAGCACTGCGGCCTGAGGGAATACAAATCTTCCCTTGGCCTCCTCTTTTGTAGAAAAAAAGACAATTCAAACAAACAAAACACTTACAAAAATTGAGATAGACAAACTTCCGGAGGAGCGAAGGAAAGAGCCGAATGACGAAGGGGACAGAAGCGTACAAAATAAACAAGTCCAGCAGGAGCCTCTTGATCTTAAATTTCTGAAGGTAGGCCAGGAGTCCCCTGAAAGAAACAGAAACGAAAGCTTAAGCACTCCAAGTCATTCATCTGTTCTTACGACGACCCTGTAAGCAGGGCTTTTTTTGTAGAAAAAGTCCAGCAGGAAGCTATTAGCATAATAGGCCACACCCAACAGCAGGAAACCATTAGCATATTAGGCCACACCCCTGACAGCACAGCACATTAGCATATTAGGCCACACCCCACGTGTTACCAGAAATGTGGTCATCCAACCACACCCACCTTTTGCTTCTTATTCTGTTTACCTTGTTTGTTGTCAAAACCCTGGGCTTTTTTTGTAGCAGGAACGTCTTTGCATGTTAGGCCACACACCCCTAATGTAGCCAATCCTAATGAGTTCCTGCTGTTGGGTGTGGTCTATTATGCTAATGAGTTCCTGCTGGGCGTGGCCAACTCAGGAGCCAGCCGGAACTCCATTCCTGTGCGTTCCTGCCCAAAAATAGCCCTGCCTGTAAGGAAGACCAGCGTTCCTGTACTGCAGGGCAGGAGGCCCGAGGCCCAGTTTGCTGCTATCTGTGGTGAACCCCAACCTGATCTGCGGTTGCAGACACTGGCGAGTGGACGGTGCGGGCAACTAAGCACGAGCAGCAGGAGATTCTTGGAGGGGGGGCAGCAACAGTGGGAGGGGGCTTCTAGTGTCCTGGCGTCTCTTAAGGTCCTCTAGTCACTTCATGGTGGATTTGAATCTGAGGCATCCCGACGCACACCTTGGTCTCCCAGCCACTCTTGTGACATTTGCGCACTCTAGAATTGGTATCTCAATCCTGTCTCCACAAAATCCAGTCATGCACACACACACCTGTTGGATCTCTCCCCGCAGTGCCTGAAACTAGTATTCCATCAGTATTTCAAAGTATTCATTTATTCTGAAAAATTTATATCCCGCCTTTCTGCCCTCGCAAGGTCGACTAAGGCAGTTGATGTATTAAAATCTACACAATAAAAACCACATTTAAAAAACATTAAAAGCAACAAAAAGAAACCCCATATCATTAAAACAATTAAAAACAGAGCTAAAACACACAGGAAGATGTAAACAAAAAGCAAAAACTCCAAATCATTTTTTGAAAGAGGTACTTTTCTCCCTTTCTCACAATACAAGAACTCGTGGGCACTCAGGGAAATTGATGGGTTAGAACAGATAAAAGGAAGTACTTCTTCACCCAAAGAGTAATTAACACGTGGAATTCACTGCTGCAGGAAGTGGTGGCAGCTACAAGCATAGACAGCTTCAAGAGGAGGCTAGATAAACATATGGAGAAGGGGTCCATCAGTGGCTATTAACCACAAGGTATAACGGAGCTGCGGTGGCTCAAGTGGTTAAGACGCTGAACTGCAGGCTGTGGAAGGTCGGTAGTTCAGCAGTTCGAGACCCGAGTGTGCCGCATGACGGAGTGAGCTCCCATCTCTAGTTCCAGCTCCTGCCAACCTGGCAGTTCGAAAGCAAGAAATTGCAAGTAGATAAATAGGTACCACTTCAGTGGGAAGGTAATAGCGTTCTGTGCGCCTTGGTGTTTAGTCATGCCGGCCACATGACCACAGAAACGTCTTCGGACAGCGCTGGCTCTTCGGCTTTGAAACGGAGATGAGCACCACAACCCTAGAGTAGGATTCGACTGGCTTTCGAGCAAGGGAAACCTTTACCTTTACCTATCTCAATTTATAGACTATTGTCAATGGCACCAAAAATCCATCTGCTCCTGGAACTCCCTATATGCGTGCAGGTAGGTGTAACTAAAGTTGACAGGGGCCAGGCAGACGAAACCAGTGCAAGATGGAAGTAGTGCAGACGGAACAGAGCAGGGCAGAGGGACGGTAATACAGGAGAGGAGGAGAGTAGATTGGATTTATACCCCGCCCTTCACTTGGAGTCTCAGAGAGGCTTACAATCTTCTTTCCCTTCCCCTCCCCACAACAGATACCCTTGTGAGGAAGGTGGGGCTGAGAGAGCTCTTTCGAGGACTGCTCCTGAGAGAACAGCCCTGAGAGAACTTGTGACTGACCCAAGGTGACACTAGCAGCTGCATGTGGAGGAGTGGGGAATCAAACCCGGTTCTCCCAGATTAGAGTCCGTGCCTGGCGGAACATCTCCATTTTACAGGCCCTGCGGAACTGCATCAAGTCCTGCAGGGCCCTAATCTCACTTGAGAGAGAGTTCTACCGGGTCGGTTGCTGAGCCAAAAGGGCTCTGGTTGATGCTAAGCAGTTACCTTTTGGGCCGAGGATCACCCGTAGATGTTGATCCGTAAAGTGTAATGCTCTCTGAAGGACGTGCTGGGAGAGACGGTCCTGAAGGTAGGTTGGTCCAGGGCTTTAAAGGTTAAAACCAACACCTTGAACCTGACCCGGTACTCAACTGAGAGCCAGTGCAGCTGGCGGAGTACCAGTGGTGTGTGTGCTCTGAAAGGTGTTCCTCTAAGCACACGCGCCACTGCCTTCTGGACCGGCTGAAGCTTCTGGATCAGTTGCAAGGGAAGCCCCAGCATAAAGCAAGTTACAGTAGTCCAACCTGGAGGTGACCATCGCGTGGATCACTGTGGCTAGGTCATGGGGGGGAGAGATAGGGAGCCAGTTGCCTGATGACGACAGCATTTCGGTAGGTTCCTAAGGGAGTCGGTGACCCTTCAGGTATGCTGGTCCCAAGCCATACAAGGCTTTAAAACAACCCGAATTGTGTTGTAAATTGGGAGTCAGTGTAGACGGGCCAAGACCGGGGTGATATGGTCCCTACAACCCACTCCGCTCAATGTCCTGGCTGCAGCATTCTGCACTGTTGACGTTTCCGAACACTCATCAAGGGCAGCCCCAGGGAAAGCGCACTGCAGTAATCTAACCTCGATGTAACCACAGTGGCCAGATCTTTTCCAAATGAAAAAAAAAAACCCTTCTGAACTTGTTTCCTTGGTTGTCTGAAGAAAAACACGCCTCGGGGCATTTAAAGGGAAAGAAGGAAGAAGGTGGAAGGGAAGGCAGATGATTGTTTTAAACGCACCACACCACAAAAGACTTCCGGCTTTTTCCATTAGTTTTGTCTGGTTATCCAACTTCCGAGCTGGAATTCAGACCTACAGCGACCGGAGGCATCTGGGGGAAAGGGAACTGAAAACCTTACTTCTAGCAGAGACCGGCGCATACCTCGGCAACCCAGACCGTGTGTGGATGGTTAACCCACATTCTCTAAAAAGCCAGGATCAAAAGGAGATGTGAGCAAGAACACGCCCGGCTGTTGATCCGCTGATGTCATTGCAAATCCTAGACCAGAGGGAGTGAAGGAGCAAACAGCCTTTCTTCTTCTTCAGTTTCTGGTGCTGGTTCACCCAAGGGAAAATCTGCTAGGGGAGCTAAACCGCAAAGCAAGCAACTATCCTGATTTATGATGCAAGAACTGGTTCAGGTAAGAAAGCTGCCCACACAACCTCCAAATGACGAGCAGCTATGCTCCCCGGAGGTCTTCCCAGGAGCTCTCAGATGAACTGATGGTGTTTCAACATGTTGCTGGTGCTTCAACAATCTGGCTCGATATGAACGAGTCTGGTGTAGTGGTTAAGTGCCTGGTCTCTAATCTGGGAGAACCGGGTTTGATTCCCCACTCCCCCACATGCAGCTGCTGGAGTGAGTTTGAGTCAGTCACAAGTTCTCTCAGAGCTGTTCTCTCAAGGGCAGTCCTCGAAAGAGCGCTCTCAGCCCCACCGACCTCACAGGCAGTGTTCCCTCTCAGCTGAGTTAGTGTGAGTTAGCTCACAGTTTTTTAGCCTCTGGCTCACATATTTTTGTCTTCGCTCAGGAAGGAGGGCTCCCGAGCAAACTGATTGATGCAGCAGCCCAATCGCCCGCTCACAACTTTAATGCCAGGAGCTCACAAAGTAGAATTCTTGCTCACAAGACTCCGCAGCTTAGAGGGAACATTGCTCACAGGGTATCTGTTGTGGGGAGGGGAAGGGAAAGGAGGTTGCAAGCTGCTCCGAGACTCCCAAGTGAAGGGCGGGATATAAATACAACCTCTTCTTTTTCTTCCGGAAAAAAACCAACAAAAATATCCACATTCTAAGCAAGTTTGTTACACTCCAGTTCCACCAACACCCCCCCCCAAAAAAAAATCATAATTAAAAACCCTGCTGGATCAGAACCATGGTCCACCGAGTCCAGCATCCTGTCTCCCACAGTGGCCAAGCAGAGGTCCCTGGGACGCCAACAAGGCAGGGCAGGGAGATAACAGCTCTGAAGAACAACTGACCGGGAGCTAGTGATATTGAGGTAGATTGCTCCTGAACATGGAGGCTTCACTCGGCGCTCATAGCCAGCAACTGCTGATAGGCTCATCCGGCGTGAATTTGCCCGATCCCTTTTCAGAGTCCTCTTAAACAGAGGCTCTCGCCACATCCCGTCACGGCAAACCTCGCCCGCCCCAGTTCCGTCGCCCATCGATTACAGCAGGTAGCTTCACAGGAACAATCTGCAGCAGAGTTAGAGTTACACCCTTTGAGGTCTGCTGCTCTGCAAGCATCCCATCACTGGGAGGGACTGTGGCTCAGTGGCAGAGCCTCCGCTTGGCATGCAGAAGATCCCAGGTTCAATCCCCGGCATCTCCAGCTAAAAGGACCAGGTGGCAGGTGATGGGAAAGACCTCCTCCTGAGACCCTGGAGAGCTGTAAAGAGGGGCTGTGGCTCAGTGGCAGAGCCTCTGCTTGGCATGCAGAAGGTCCCAGGTTCAATCCCCGGCATCTTCAGTTAAAAAAGACTAGGTAGTAGGTGATGGGAAAGACCTCCGCCTGAGACCCTGGAAAGCTGTAAAGAGGGGCTGTGGCTCAGTGGCAGAGCCTCTGCTTGGCATGCAGAAGGTTCCAGGTTCCATCCCCGGCATCTCCAGTTTATAGAAGGACCAGGCACTAGTTGATGGGAAAGACCTCCGCCTGAGACCCTGGAGAGCTGTAAAGAGGGGCCGTGGCTCAGCGGCAGAGCCTCTGCTTGGCATGCAGAAGGTC